TATTGGCTTGGCATAGATCAGCCGCCATTCTACGATATAATGCAGTTGCCTCCACGAACTTCAAAGCAAGCGTGGTGGCTTTATTTTACCGGTGAATCACTTGACTACTATCCATTCATAGGACTTGAAAGTTTCCAAGAATTATTTGATATGTCAGCTGGTTCACCCGCCAGACTTTTTGACTTCAACCAACCTACATACCCGATTCAAACATCAGACATTCCTTCATTCTATAAAACACACGTGCCTTTTGATAAAAAGCGAAGTGATGTACTTATTGCTTGGATGGCAACTAATTGTTCGCCACGTAATAACAGAAATGAGTTCGTGCAGAGTCTCATGAATCTTACCATTGTTCACTCATTTGGAAAATGTTTGCATACCCAAGATTTCCCAAACGACATTTTGGACAAGTATGGCTTGAAAAATGGAACACACGGTCGTTTCAGCGATAAAATGGTTGAGATTAAACGAGATGTGTTAAGCCCTTACAAGTTTATTTTAGCACTAGAGAATTCAAATTGTGAAGGTAAGGTATTCATTTTTGATAATATGAATGTTTCTTTCACATCAGGATATTGGGAAATTAATTCGGGTGTAAGCTTGCACAAAACTTGCAAGCCCGCCAATAATGTTGTGCAAAACCATAATATTATGAGTTCCTTTGCTCACGTCAAAAAAATTTTCTAATGCCCACAATGTTGTTTATTTTTATCAACAAATAGGCTATGTTACTGAGAAAGTCTACGATCCAATGTTAATTGATGCCATTCCAATCTATATGGGTGCTTCTGATATTGACGATTACATACCTCCTCATTCAGTTATCAAAGTATCAGATTACAAGACAACTGAAGAATTGGTTGCCTATGTGAAGAAGGTGGCAGATGATCCTGCATTGTTTGCCAGCTATTTTGCTTGGAAAAATGACACTTCATACCAAAACTTTTGCAAAAATTGCCATTCGTCTACTGAATCCATAGTTTGCAAAATGCTCGATAGGATCCAATGGGTATGATGATGCTGAATGTGAATGAATTTCTGCTTTTGGAATAGAAGGCATTTCAAGTGTTAACACCAACGAATTTCCTTGGTTTACTTGTATAGTTTATTATTTGTATTAGAGTGTATATACCTTTAAACTGGAGAAAAATT